ATGTTGGTTCTATCTGAGTCAGGATGGAGCCCCTGGGAACCCCTAAACTGACTCATTTCCTCTCCCGCAGCTGAGGCTGGGCTGGGCTGTTTTCATCACTGTGGAGAAAGTCTATTTGCATGTCCTCCTTCTCTATAAAAAGTTCTCACTGATCATGGAGAGAGAAGGGAGGACTCCAGAGCAGGTGAAGGGTTCTGGGGTGCCCATGACCATGAAAAGTTTCGGAAACTCTGCTATTCCAGCATGCAATTATTACACGACAATTTAATTTATATACTTTAATGTTTATTTTTATACAAATCCAGTTATGTGTGTAGTATTACTTATATTTAATGAATTAATATGAAATATAAAAGCTTAAATGGTTTTTATAAAGCGAAAAAATAAATTTTAGAGTTGGTCCCACTATCTAGATAAAAGGAATCCATTTTGTCACTCACAGCTGTCACTGTTTTGGGAGACAAGTATTAAGCTAAAATCAGCAGGAAGGAAGAATGGCCAGAAAACAGGGCCCTGATGTCTGAAAACCCACTGGAGCAAGTCCATGTAGCTGCTGTTTTTGTACTTTGTCTGAGAGGAAAAACCTCTGGGATTAAAAGTATTTGTCCTGATTACCTAAGGCCTCAGATGTGTAAGAGCTTAGCTCAGACAAAGCTAGAAAATTGACCTAAGCTTGTTGTTCTCCTGATGATTCCGGTTCTAAGCAATAACTCTCAAAATGTTGGGCTTTTGGAGCTGTCAGTCCACTAGGGAGTTAGTCCTCTGAACAACACCCTTTCTCTCTTCAGTCTGTCTATCTGTTAATACTCACAGCATCCCACAGTTGGTCCCTGTTCACCAGGATCATCCCTGTAACTAGATATGCAGAGGCAGTAGAGGGGGAAGGTCCTCCCCTCCATGTGGTTCATCAGGTTGATTCCCTGACCTTCACATAGTTTCCCTTGCCCCTACCAGTAGGGACCCCTGAGCACAGAACCAGGAGTATACCAAAGTGGCGTAAACAACATGACCAAAACAACAGGAATTGAGAGATAGTACAGTGGTAAGGCACTTATGTTGCACATGGTAACCCAGATTCCTGGAGGTGTGGAGTTTTCCCAGGCTGTCCCCTTGGCCACTAGAAGACATTGGACCTGTACAGAGTTCCACAGGCCTCAAGTTCTCTGATATGTCTATGAATAGCATAGATTACCTGGCCTTGATTTGCTGGTGCCCAATGGCTTGAGACTTGGGAAAGAGACATCTCAGGTGTCAGCAATACTTCAACCTTGTCTCTGCCTTAGAGCATCAAGGCCAGTGCTCCAGCAACTTTTTCCAGGCATAACAATCTCCTGATTCTCCTGCCACCTGCTCCTTAGTGCACACAGGCATCCTCCCTCAGCCTCTATGGGCCATTGCTCTCCTAATAAACTCTGTCATATGACTAAGTGTCAAGGGCCTATGTGGGCTGCTGTGTCTCAGCCACACTGCACTCATAAATCTTTGAGCATATACCGACCAAGCATTTGATCAATGGCCTCTGCAAGAGGGACGTTTCCCCAGTCCCACGGAGATGCTCCTCACTTCATGCTGAAATCTCAGTGGGGAAGACAGGGCATGGATCTAACTATCTGGGATTTTTACCTCAACACCTTTGAGGAGAGGATTTTCCTGAAATTCTGGAAAAGGTAGAAAAAATGCCCCCAGTGTCAGCCATAATACTTCCTTTCTTCCTGCTATTTCAAATGTGACCTAAGGGTCCCTTGTGAAAATGTTGAACACAGGAGCTGGTGTAGCCTTGGGTCTCCTCAGAACAGGAAACTGAAGGTCTCCTCCAGGCACCAAGGGGTACTGATATTCCTGTCTGTCCCAGGACACAGGTTAGGCCTGTGTCAGGCTAGGAGACTCCCCCAAACTTCTGCTCACCAGGAAGAAATTCCTGTGTCAGTGCCCTCTCTGTGTGCAACTGGGACAACCATTCTGTGCCTCTGGCACTCGGTAAAGGCCCTGGAATATTGAAACAGGTTCAAGTCTTGGAGTTCAGGGAATAAGATATTGTGAGAATTCAGAGATTGAAGTCGGGGTTAAAGCGCCAGCCCCCCCCCCCCAAAAAATAAAACCCCACCCCCAAAAATACTCAATTGTGCAGATCAGTTCTCCTATTGCGCTGCTCTTAGCCCTTGTTGCTACCTTGCTGTGGACACTTTAAGCCCCATATTATGAGACAGATCATTCTGTATCTCTCCCTTTACTGCTGACTGGTTCACTCAGCATGATATCCTCTCATTTTTTCTGTATTGCAGAAAGTTGAATGATTTTCAACTCAGTAAGCACGTAAGGCTCACAGAGTGTAGACAGGATTAGGACTCTTTCCAGATGTTCCTCATACATGTGAAATTTATGAGTAAAATGTCTCAGGCCAATGCCCCAGACTTTCTGGAATCAGTTGGAAGTGTGTAGCACTAGGAGAGTGGTTGTTGATTTGAGAACTTGGCCTTCCCAGTGTAACTTGGAGTTGTCCCTACACACAGAGGACAGTGGGGAGACTGAGAACAGTCTGACACTGCAGAACTGTAGGTAGCAGTTCAGTCACCAAGGAGCTCCATCTAGGCGCCTGCTCTGTGCAGAGGCAGAAAGGGTGCATTGAGAACAACCCTCGAGGTATGATTCCTGGACTTCCCTGTCCCAGGATTCTGTCTGCACTTTTCTGCTTACCACATTAACAATCCAGGCTGGCCTTCAGGTTGGGCCCCTGCTTCTGTGCTCTGCATTGACCTCGGTCGGAACTTTCCCCAATATTGCGCTATTGTGCCTTTAGGAATTGATGGGTTGTCCTGATTCACGTGTGTTCCCCAGGCTCATCTTCTCTGACATTTCTAAGAATAATGTAGATTAATGAGCCTTTATTTGCTGGTCCCCAATGGCTCAAGACTCGGAAAAGAGACATCTCTGCTGTCAGCAATACTTCACCCTTGCCTCTGCCATAGAGCATCAAGGCCAGTGTTCTAGCAACTTCTTCCAGTCATAACTTTCCCCTGATTATCTCTGCCACTTGCTTCTTAGTGCACACAGGCATCCTCCCTCAAGTTCTATGGACCCATTGCTCTCCTAATAAACTCTGTCACATGACTAAGGGTCTAGGGCTCATGTGAGTTGCTATGTCTTGGTCACACTGCACTCATAAATATTTGAGTATCTACTACCCAAGACAAATGGACCATCCCCTTGTTCCCAGAGTCCCTGAAGTTATGGGATAACTACGTCCAGAGAGACGGGGTCCAAGCATTTGGTCAGTGGCTTCTGCAAGCGGGATGTTTCCCCAGTCGCACTGAGATGCTCTTCACTTTGATGTAGGCAGACAGATATGGAAGGGCCCCTCCCAATGTGATGGCGGCAAATTTCCTGGGAAGTAATAGCTCTGAAGTTGCAAAGGCCAAATTTGCAAACAGGAACTAAGGCCTGATAAGACTGGCCCCTTGTGCCAGCACTGGACCCTGAGGAGGTTGGACCCCTCCAATGGAAGCTCCAGCAGCACCAAAAGGCCAGGAAAGAAATTTCAGAGGATACCCACGCCCATCCCTATTCCCCTAGGCAACCTTCTTAGTAATGGACTTTGACCTAAGTAGAAGCCCCACATGGGGGCAGGTTGGAGAAACCCTATAAAGGCCACCTCGAACAAAAGAGGGGCATACATATGCTGCCCAAGCCCATGTGCTGCTTGTGCCTATATGGCCAAGAACATGTGGTGCCTTAACATCTGTGTCGCCTGAATCTCCTCTCTTGAGATGTGTACTTTCCTGCTTTCATGTCTAATGTATGTAGGGGCTCTTTTCCTCCTTAGAGAAGCCCGGGTTCTCTCTTCAGCATGTTCCTCTCCACTCTCTCCCATTTTCTCTTCCTCCTTCACTTCAAAACCTCCCCAAAAATCTTTTTACTGCAATATTTGTATACTCATGAAATTCTTTTCTGCCCTGGCACTTGGTGCAGGGCCTGAGAGATTGAAACAGGTTCAGGAAATTGGATCTTAAGAGGATTCAGAGATTGAAGTTGGGATCAAAGCCTCTTTCCCCCCAAATACTCAATATATTTCCCAGGAATATCCGTCAATTGGTGAGATCAGACCCCAGGTAAATTCAGCTGGGATGCATGACCCTGGTGGGAGGGAGCAGCCCCTGAGGCCTCACTCAAGATCCTGTCTGCTGGTCCATGCTACTGCCAGCCCTCCTAGACACACCCCAGACAGTGTGTCTGTGCTTGGGTCACGAACTTCCCCTGAGCTGGACTGAGATGCCCCCAACATCAGGACTTCACAGACCCTGACTCTGACCATTTCCTTAACGCCATGTGATAGAAGAAATGTGACTATGTCCCTTTCATATAGGGTCGTCTCCTCAACTGTCCTTGACAAATGGTAGGATTATAGCTCAGGAATATGAAAATACAAGCATGCACAGAGGGTCAGGGGTCCACAGAAACTCCAGAGGGGGATTTGGCCAACACTAAGATTTCAACTCAGAGATCATGATCATGATCACGACCATCCTGTTATTCGTCGATTGCCTCAAGCATGCCCCAGTAACGTCTCCTTCGTCCTAGCCCTGAGATTTTTTAAAAAGTGCCATATTCAAGGCTCTTTCAGAGTTAGGAGAATGAGACACATCATTGTTACTGGTATTTGGCATATTGGGTACGCCATAGGAAGTTTGCTAGACTCTGCCGTGTGAGCAGGGTACATTACATTCGGTAGCCTGCCAGTTTGTCCAAAGTAGGAATGAGATAATAAGATGTTGCGTGGCCGCAAATGCGGCTGCACGTTTCCGGAGCTGGGTTTTATAGTCACTGGGTCTTGGCCGTTGATGTGATTACACGGCGCCGGGGTGGGGGGGGTGGGCAGTTGGTGGGTGTGACCCCTGCCTACTGGAATTTGGAGGATCTGGGTGGAGGATGCTCAGCCCCGATCTGAGCAGGCTTGGAGATCTCATCCCCGGGGCCTGCATGCCTTTGTTCCTCTGTCGGTACCTTCAACTCAGATAATAGAATTTTTTTGCTGAGACACAGAATTTAAGACTAAATATGTGAAAGAGGAAGTCTGCCATGGAATGATCTGCAGTCCAGGAACCTGCAGTGACACCAGTCCAAACTTCCATGTGGTTATTCATGTACCATCTAAGATTCTCCACTCTACAATCCCACAAGAAAATATGAGTGACACCAGGTGTTCTCAAGAGAAGCCATCTTCCTCTTGGCTGTTGCTGAAGGACAGAGAGAGATCCTGAGCCTTTCCCCCAGATGAAGCCTGGCTTTGTGAGCCTCATTATGTGTCTCAAATCCTGACTCTCTGAGGAGGAAGTCAGGAGGATCAGTGTCCCCGTCATCTCCTCATGCGGCACAGCTGCATCCCCCTCAGTTTTCTGACACATGCAGGATGTGGTTGTCACACTGTGTTTCTCGCACAGTAATACACGGCCATGTCCTCGGTGCTCAGCCTGCTCAGTTCCATGTAGGCTGTGTTCTTGGACTTGTCTGCAGTGATACTGACTCTTCCCTGGAACTTCTCTGCATACCTTGTATCACTATCACCAGGGTATATCATTCCCATCCACTCAAGCCCTTGTCCCGGGGCCTGCCGCACCCAGTTCATCCAGGAGCCAGTGAAGGTGTATCCAGACGCTTTGCAGGAGATCTTCACTGATGTTCCAGGCTTTCCCACCTCAGCCCCTGACTGCACCAGTTGCACCTGTGAGTTCACACCTGTGGACAGCAGACAGGAGTGGGTGTACTCCACTTTGACTGGCTCCTTTCCCTCAGCCCAAGACATGGGGACACTTACATGAAGCCACTGCCACCAGGAAGAGAATTCTCCAGGTCCAGTCCATGGTGGGGACCATACACTCAGGGTCTTCTGAAGGTGTGAATGTGCCTGCTGTGTGATGTTTTCGGGTCACAGACACATCTCTATTTAACACAGTGTCCCTCGTGTAATTTGCATATTCATGAGGAGGGAGAATTCATAGCTGAAGCCTGGTCCAACCTGAGTAGGGGCTGGTGGAAGAATGGGTCCATTCTCAAGGGGAGTGAAGAGGTTCACGTTCTGATCCTTGTTTGAGGAGATGAGACCCTGCCCTGTCCCAGGACTCTGTGCACACAGAGCTACCCTTTGGAGGGCCAAGCCCTTCTAGGACCTTCCCCTCAGTGCCCCCAAATCTGTATGGTCTGGACACATCTGGACACAACTGTGCTTTGAGGTTATTTCTGGGATCCTGGAACTCCCCAAGGGATACTACAATGAGACTACAAAACCATCCCAATGCTCCAGAGGTTTCTATTGGAGATATTAAGAATTCCAGAAATAACACCTGCATACAGTCTTTACTACCTTATCAATATCATAAATGGTCCTCCCCAAACGATAAGTATGCACAATTTAACCTTCTGTCTCCTGTACTTACTTTAATTTTGGTATTTTTAAGAAAAGAAACTTTAGTTTTATTGAAAAGGGAAATTCTGTTTCTGAGGAGATTCCTGCATCTCTGCACCCATTTCTGCCACCTTTGCAGCCCTTCAAGCTTGTAACTCTGTGTTCTTGGGATTTGGTGCCCCTTGCAGTCTGGTCCCCACCCTGCAGTTAGAGCCTTTGTGCTCTCAGAGGCATTAACAGTTTGGTGTCTCTTCTGTAGGATTGAATACTGGGACTTCATTTCAGAAGCCTTGTTCACATATCATATTCTCTTATGAGACTTTTCTTTTGGTTTTGAGTCACACTTGGCAGGTGTGAGGGCTTACTCCTGGCTCTGTGCCCAGGAATCCCTCAGGCAGATGGATCCTAATAAAATATTCGTAAATCAAATAGTTATATATATATATATATATATATATATATATATATACATATATATGTTAAAATTAACACTGTCTTTGCTGAAATCATGTAAAAGTGCTACTTTAAATAATTCACTCAAATAAAAATACTGTAAACCATCAAAATAAAAGAGGATTTAAATATTTAAGTAAAGACTTTAAACAAAAATTTTATATTAAATTTGCTAAGTTAACGAAGACTTCAAAAACCAGGCATGAGTCTAACATAGCTGCCAACAAGTTTATTACATAGCAGTATTAGTGGAAGGCAAAATGAATAGAATACAATAAAGTTTTATGGCACATATGACTTTTACTCTGACTTTTTAGCAATACAGAATAGTATTGTTTAACGAAATGTACTTAGAGAAATGCAAGAGGAAAGAAAGAGAGAGCCATGTTCATGAGAAAACATGGGGTTCTCCAGAAGGGAAAAAATCCTTGAGTTCTGATTTCTGGTCCAGAAACACCACCTGCATACAAGTTTTACTGCTTTATCAATATGATAAAAGGATAAGTATGCACAGTTTAAGCTTCTGTGTTCTATATTTATATTAATTTTGGTTTTCTTGAGAAAGAAAAATTTATTTATATTGAAGAAAGAAATCCCGTTTCTGAGGAATTTCTGCATCTCAGCAACCATTTCTCCCATCTCTGCACCCCTTCTAGCCTGAAACTCTGTGCTCTTGGGACTTGGCGCCCCCTGCAGCCCGGTCCCCACCCTTCAGGGAGAGCCTCTGGGCTCTCAAGGGCTTCAACCTCTTGGGGGTCTCTAACACAGGATGGAATCCTGAGACTTCACTTCAGAAACCTTGTTCATGAGTCATATTCTTTTTTTTTTTTTTGCTTTTTGGGTCACACCCGGGGATACACAGGGGTTGCTCCTGAATCTGCACTCAAAAATTACTCCTGGAAGTGCTCAGGGGACCATATGGGATGCTGGGAATTGAACCTGGGTCGGCTGCAGGCAAGGCAGACGCCCTACCCGCTGTGCTCTCACTCCAGCCCCAGTCATATTCTTTTATGGGCTTTTTTTGTGTGTGTTTTGAGCCACACCTGGCAATTCTGAGACTGAGGAGTTACTCCTGGCTCTCTTTTCAGGAATAGCTGAGATGGATGCATCCTAGGAAAATATTGGCAAATCAAGTAGTTTTATATATAATATACATAACTTAAAACGTGACACTGAGTGTTCTCTGCTGAGATCATGTAAAAGTGATATAATAAATAATTTACTCAAATAAAAATAGATAAAACCATCAAACTAAAAGAGGATTTAAGTTTTTATGTGAAGACTTTAATATAAACACAAAATTATATTAAATTTGCTGAATTAATAAAAAATATTTAAAAACCAGGCATGAGTCTAACACAGCTGTCAACAACTTTATTACATAGCAGTATTTTTGACACAAATATAGGTAAATTAGGATAAAATTAATAAAGCTTTATGCACATATGACTTGAACTCTGACTTTCTCAGTGATATAGAATAGTATTATTTAAAGAAATTTATGTAGAGAAACGCAAGGGGAGACAAAGAGAGAGCCGAGTTCATCAGATCACATGGACTTGTCCAAATGGGAAAAATCCTTGAGTTCTGATTTCTGGTCAGACATGATAGAAGTTTGGAAGACATCTTTCCACCAAGCACACGTGAAAACCTGAACAAGAGAAAATCAGAGATTCACTTTCTGTCTCTCTGTGAATGCAAGGTAGAAAGAGATGGAGAGATAATTAAGATAGTATTATCTAAAGAAATTTACTTAGGGAACTTCAAGGAGGGAGGGAGGGAGAGAGAGAGAGAGAGAGAGAGAGAGAGAGAGAGAGAGAGAGAGAGAGAGTGCACAGGATTGTGACAGGAAGGACAGTCCAAACACAGGATCTTGTCATCATCACCTGAGCCATCCTTCTCCTTTGTTGATCCCTAGGATTCTATATCCTCCCTTATCTATGTGTTGCAATACAGACACTGAAAGGTTATCATGTATATCTTTTTTCATACTTTCAAAACTCAGTTCTTGTTCAGAGTGATCATATCTTATCTAACTATCCCTGTAATACTCCCCCTCATACACTTGTAGCAAGCTTAAAATTATTGACCTGTCTTTCCAGCCCCTGCGTTTCCTGGCATTGAATATTAATCAATTAAGACCTCCAGGACTAGCCACCACCATGCTGAGACCACTCTCCGCACACATGAAGGTACTGGCAGAGGGACAAAGCCACGTGGGTTTCGGGGCCGAGATCTCCAAGCCTACTCGAATTGGAGTCGAGCATCCTCCACCCAGATCCTCCAAATTCCAGTAGGCGGGGGTCCCACCCACCAACTGGCCCCCTGGCGCCGTGTAATCCCATCAGCGGCCAAGACTCAGAGACTGTGAAAACCAGCTCCCGGACGAGAACAGTGCTGTCTCCTGCCCCCGCGCCTGGCTGTCCTCGCCGGGGCCCCTTGGAGGGGAGCGGGTTGAGCTTTCCTCCCCGCCCCGACCAGGGCTCCTGCAGCCGAAGACCTCCAGGACCAGCCACCACCATGCTGAGACCACTCTCCGCACACATGAAGGTACTGGCAGAGGGACAAAGCCACGCGGGTTCCGGGGCCGAGATCTCCAAGCATTCGGGGCCGTGCGACATCTTATTATGACATCTCATTCCTACTTTGACAAACTGGCAGGCTACCAAATGTAGCCTGCCCACACGGCAGGGTCTGGCAAACTCCCCGTGGTGTACCCAATATGCCAAATACCAGTAACAATTATGGGTCTCATTCTCCTAAAGAGCCTTGAATATAATCTCAGGGCTAGGATGAAGGAGACGTTACTGGGGCCTGCTCGAGGCAATCGACGAATAACAGGATGATTTGTGATTTGTGAATATTAATCTCATACAAAAGTTTAAATCCCACAGAACGATGAAATTATTCTATATCTGTTCCTCTCCTTCTGATTCATTCACTCAGCGAGATACTCTCCATTTCCCTCCATTTATAAGCAAATTTCATGATATCATTTTTCCTGGTAGCTGCATAGTATTCCATTGTGTAGAAATACTATATTCCATCCAGTCATCTGTTCTCAGATACTCTGCTTGTTAAAGATTTGGCTATTGTGAATACAATATTATGATGCAGTAAACATGGGTATGCGAATATATTTCTAAATTTGTGTTTTGGGTCCATTGGGGTCAATGCCAAGAGTGAAATTTTTGGATCATATGAAAGATCAATTCTTAGTATATTGATTAGTACCTAAGTTTCTTTGAAAGAAGTCAATCCCTTTGATATTCCCACCTGCAGAGGATGAGGATTGCATTTCCCCTACATCTATGCTAAAATATAGAATGTTTTGGTTCTTTGTGATGTTTGCCCTTCTACCTAGTAAGAGGTGATATCTCATAATTATTTCAATTTTCATTTCTCTGATAAGTGATGGGGAGAATTTGTTCCTACAGTTCTCTGCCTCAAAGTCTTCTTTAAGGACGTATCTATTTCAAACCCCCATTTTAGATGGGGTTTATTTTCTTTGTTAAGTACTACAAGTGCTTTGTATATGTTTTATTAATCCTACATCAGATGAGGGGTGGGCAGATATTTTCCCCAGTTTTTTGCTTGTCTTTTGATTTTGTTCATAATTTCATTTACATTGATTGTGTCATTTAAGACAAATATAATATTGACAACTCAAAGCATGAAATGGGTGAATAATTTGGCTCCAACTTGACCCCAAAATTATTGCTTTATGGGAGGGAAATTGAAAAAAGAAGGCAAAGAATCATGTGTTTGAACTTAGCTGAAAGTAACTGCTTGTTTGCAACACAAAACGTTTGTCATAGGCTGACCACAATCACAAACACAAAGTCAACTTCAACTTCAATGTTGAGTGTAGAAACAGCCGAGAGAGTCGGTGAGTCCCCAGGTGAAATTGTGATCAATGTGACTGGATCATTGCAGGTTCAGAGTCGGGACACACCTCACGTGTCTTCACAGCACAGGGCCTCACTCAGCCTCTGTGCACACAGC